TGCAAACAAACCTACAAGCCTGGAAACATCAAAACCTATATTGATGTTGGCCTACTTTCATTTAGCTTGAAAGGACTGGCGGAAAGGATTCGTAAGTTGGCTTCACCGAAGGAAAATTGCCTTGGACATAGGATTGTTGTATTGTGCAACGAAGGCCTCGGCTCATTGTCCAGCGACCCCGAGGAATCCGTGCTAGGCGTTCATCCTTATTGTGAAAGACATTGTTTAACTATCACCATCCAAATTCATAAGTTTCTTATCAGCATTTCCTCTTACCTGATAAAGCACTACATCAAATAAAGTATTTGCAATTTGTTGTAATTTCAGGAAATTCTTCGAAATAAGAATATTGGACGGCGAATGTTTCGGTCTTATTTTGTTATATTTAAATACTGTAAGCATGTAATGTTTTCTTGTAAAAAAATCATGAGATAATTTTGGAAAGCGTGTCTCTCAACAATAGAAAAGTTGGGCCTTGGTGTAGAGCGATGAATTTCATAAACATTGTCCTCATGACGTACCTCTTGGATACGAAGAGAAGCTGGGCTGAAAATGACATAAAAGTTACACCAGCTTCTATCTTTTAAGGAATAAAAGCATACATTCATATAAAGTAGGTTTATAAAACATCAGTAAATCTAGAATAGAAGTTCTAGTTACCCTACTTCACACGTGATAAAGGACCGATAGTATTGTGGGAAATTTCAACTATTGGTACTTCATTGCCTTGAAAAAGACTCTCGACTCACTTACACTCATAATATTGGTACCAACAGTCTGCATCCCTCTCCAGCAGCCTCTTCCGCCAGCTCATCGGCCAATCAAGATGAGAGATGGGCATTGTTTTACACCACCTAGGGCTCAACAAAGTTTTACCAAATATACGAAATTCACAAACCAAACGGAAATACTATGACCGTAAATATGAAGACCAAAGTGGTGTGGCCTTCTGCTTGCTCACAGTCTCCCTTAGCCTCGACCAAGTTGCGTAAACGAGGTCGAACCAACGGTATAAGGCCAAAAGAGATCGTGACCAAACAGAAGGCTACACCATCTTGATTTTCATATCTGCGATCTAATTATGGTAGTAAGATAGCCTCTCAATGCACTGATAGCGCCAGATCAAAGAAAATAATAATAAACCAATCTTGACATTTGACCTTTCCTAATAGCTGTAGACGTCATTGCATCCTTCCTAGTCTTTGCAATTTGATGAGAAAAGATCATTCTGTTAACGTCAATGGTATAGTATATCAAGCTTCTTTGCAAAATTAGAGATTTATGATAAGGAAAGTAGAAAATATTAAATCTAGACTGAGGCATCATGTAAGTCAAGTTCTCAGCCCAGAGGATTTCCTGAAACCACAGAAGATGACAGACAAAATGTCGAAAGGATCTCGAAATTTATCGAAAAAATGCACCGAATAAACTGTATAAATATAGGATCTATAGGCAGCCCAAAGTCTAACCATCCGGCAAAAAGAAAAATGCCTCTAGGATGACGAATCTCACAGTCCAGACAAGAAATGAAGATAAAGGAATGAATTTGTCTTCCCCCCCTTGTGACCTGGAAACCACAGAGATCGTCAAGATGGGACTAAATTTTGCACTTCGTGATTAAAGGATGACAATCAAGGACATTTTAGTGTAGGCGATGAATAACACTGAGAAGCTACCTAAGGACTCAAAAAGAGAGCTGGAAATGGAAATCATCCTAACACTCTCGGCGCATCAAGAATCCATGGATATGAACAATATAGCGAATTGAGAAGAAACGATCAAATAGTTCCTCAAGCCGACAAAGGAGGTGTCTCAGTGGTGATGCACAGAAAGGAATATAAAGATAGAATAGAAAATATTATTGAGGACACTACAAGTTATCGAGCGCCAACAAATCGACAAATGGGCAATAACCTGACTCATACGAAAGAATGCAAGAGACCTAATAGCATACGGTTTGCCGAAGGTACACAAAGAAGGAGAACCATTGAGACTGAGAGTCAACAACAAACATTGACCGACACACAGGCTGGAGAAATTTTCCTGCCTCAAATTAAAGAAAGCAAATGATAGATAATCAGATACAATAATGAAGAGCTCATGCGAATTTTGCCAAAGAATAAAAGACCACAGTTTGCAAGGAAACGAACTTTTGGTGAGCTTTGATGTACAGTCCATGTACACTAACATCACTGGAGAAAAAGCTCTCACGGCACTACTGGAGAGCTTGGAAACGGAAAAGGACATCCTGGAGATGACATGAGTTCGAAAAGTGTCTTTTACCGGATTGACCAACCAAACATTAAGAATTGCTTATGCCACGTTCAACGGCCTCATCTATGGGCAAATTGTTATTAGCACGCCATTCATTTCGTATGAGGAAGGTCGAAGGGATTCGTAGATTGGCGCCACCGAATTCCGAAGGAAGGTTGCCTTTGCCTTTTTTCTGTTGAATTGTGCGAAGAAGACCTTGGCTCACCGTCCTACGGCCCCGACGACTCTGTGCTGAGCTTTGGCTCGTCATGTGACGGACATCGTCAGAGCCAGAAACCAACAAAAAAATAATAAACCACTCCATCTTAATGAGGCATTCCATGATTTTGTTGATTGCTTTAGGCTTGTCCTACATGCATGTAAGCGGGTCAAAGTGATGCTGGAAACGGAGCTACACGCATACTCCTTAGTATCATTGATTTCATTACATCTACTTTAACACCATAAGTAAGATTCGATAGAAAAATTCAGAATCCTTATAAACATCTCTACCCAGTTTGTTCCCTTCTTTAATAATTATGACATCTAAAAAGGATAAGCTACTGTCTTTTTATAACTCTATAGTGAATTTAGACGTCTTACCCAATCCATTCATTAAAAGAAGAAAGTCTTCCAAACACTAATAGACATGAGCATAGATTTGGTCTGCCAATGGGCTCACCACTCTTGTCTGTATTGGCTAATGTCCACATGGACAAGGTGGAGGAGAATTACGAAACGTCAGTTTAGCAGACAACAGTGATTATGAGATATTTGGATGACTACTTCGCAATCTGGTAGGATTAAAGAGAAAAATTAGACGAGTTCTTGATCTTCCTAAACGACACGGATGAGAAAGTCAAATTCACCATAGATGTGGAAGAGAACGGACAGTTACCTTTCTTGATTGTGGAGGTCATATTTTACGATGAAACTCTCAAGAAACGACTGTTTCAAAAGAAATCGCATGATGGGATAACATTTAACTTCCAGTCTAACCATATTTAGGGAATGAAGATTACACGCTGCATTCTCATGGATCGACCCCCGCTGGGAATGTTGATACGACCTATACGAGGTCGAAACTGCAGTCCATCCTGGGTGAGCACAACTTTTAGGAAAGCAAGGCTGTGTGGAATTCAATGAAAACGTCAGCTCTACTCATATCATTGTGGGAAAATTCCACAACCAGTCCTTCATCAACTTAAGTGAAGTAGGGTGAATATATTCATAGACCGGACTTTTACCTTTTTTGAATGTGAAGGTCATTTTT